CATGTGCCTTATGCTCTGCAGCGAATAGGCTCTGCAGCTATGACTTGAGACAGAGCACACTGAGCTTGTGTGGTACCCCCCAGTACAGTACTGCTAGTGGGTTGTCTCACTCCTCTTGTAGCTTTAAAGCAGTGGTTCTCAACCTGTATAACCTTAGGGCCCACATTTCTCCTTGGTCATTAAGTGGCGACCCAAGTCGCACCGCATTGGAACACAAGGCATTGCAGTACTGCATGTTCCAGTGCAAGCGATCAAACTGTGGGCCGGAGGTGTGCTGGGGTGCCATTGAAATGAATGGCAACGCCATGCACCTTCGGCACCAGAACGGACAGTAGGTGCGATTGCGTGTTTGTGATTAAAACACTGACAGACACACACAAGCACAACCACAATCTCACACACACACAGACATCCAAACTTTTTAGGGGTTCAGTGTGGTCTGCTGTGCTGTGATGGAGCGTTATCCATATGTGCATTGCTTGTACAGCTTCCTTGCACTCCTTGTAGAGGTGCCGGGAGCCAGAATGTGACGTCAACCCGATCACGCAAGGGAGCTGTAAGCAAAGCACGTATGGATGGAGCTCCCACGTGGCCATACCCCCAGCCCGCCCCACCTAAAGTTCACACTCGGCGACGGGCAGCATATTTTGAATGGCTCCTCGGCACGAGAACTGACAGTACTGCGCTATGGGGGAGGCTGAAGAGCCTCTCACCTAGTGCACTGGAAGGCATGCGGCGACCCACTGAACATGGGGTCACGACCCACCAGTTGAGAACCAAGGATTTAAAAAGGAAACCTGTCCTGAGAAAACGACAGAGATTGCCATTGCTGAGCCCAACGGCTTCTCCATTCTAAAAAGAAATCAGGACGGAGTGATCAAGGAAAAAAGTTATGAAAACATTATAAACACTTATTTGTAAAGTCTGCTTAGTTTGGGGTTATGGGATGTTTAGGAACCGTAACGGTTATTTTTTTGTTTTATTACGGTGAACTTACCCTTTAAATTAGCTTTGATGGGAGCCTTAAAGGAGAACTATGAGGTGAGTGTTCTAGCCGAACTGTGACAATGAGACTCACAGGTCGGCTCAGTAGATCGGGAGGTGAGCGAACACATACCGGCGTTCGCTCACCTCATACAGCTCGCGGTATACTGAGCTTAGGGTAACGGGAAGACACTAGTATGTGTCCTCCCGTTACCCTAAGGAGAACTATGGGGAAAAGACTTAACCCCATAGTTCTCCTTTAAAGAAGCCCTTGCAACTTCCCCTTGCAATCGGGGTACCCCCGCACTGCAAGGATTAGGTGCTTGTATTGGTCTAGGGGCTGGAATAAAGCAGATTTACATACCCGATCCTGGCCTCCTCCGGCCTGCTGGACCGATCCCTACAACCTCTTCTCCCCTGGGCTCTGGTGGTCTATGTCATCATGTCTTATGCAGGTTAATTGACCTGATGTGAGGACGCAGAGGGAACATTCCATAGCAGGAGCGAAGGGGATGAGGGGTGAGTTCTGAACACCACAGGACCAAGGATCAGGTAAGTCTGATAAATCTGCTTTATTTGAGTCCCCTAGACAAAACGAGCACTTGGCCTTTGCAGGGTGGGGAAGCCCCACTGCAGGGGTACGTTTTTTATTTGGCCAGAGTTCTTCTTTAAAAGGGGGACGAGGTGGGCTGTAAACAAAATGTAACTTTAATTACAATGTTCTGCATACAAATGTGTGACTAGAGCTGGTTATATCTGCAAGATGTCAGTGTGGATGTATTTAGTAAAACCTCTGAACCCGTCACATATGCAGAATGTTTGGGGAGCACATACTCGCAGGATCACAGGCAGAACCATGAAAGTATGAAGCAATCAAATGTAACCCTCACTTACAGAGGATCCCTAGACGGGTCACAAGCGGGATTCTGTCTTCTGCTTCTGCACCAATAATGATTTCAGCACCACGGACAGCTCGCTGCAGTTACACGCTGTATAAAAGAGGCAAATACAGCGAAACCTGTTATATTCTGGTAACTGTATAATATAAATGATCATATTCACTATATATATATATATATATTAGGGCTGTGGAAATTAAAGATTAATTTCTCGATTAATCGTTAAACTTTTTGATCGATTAAAATTATTTTGATCGCTAATGAAAACACTCACCTCTCCGCAAGCTTCCGGAAGTCCCGTCGGCGATCCGGTGACATTGACGTCACCGGACTCCTCCCCCTTCCCCAAGTGGCTCCGTCGGCTCACAAAGGGAAGGGGGGAGGCGGCCGGGGACGTCCATTCAGCCAAGGCGTTGGCCTATACACATACAGCACAGCAATGAAGTAATAAAATGAACTATGATCACACTAATCCAGCACGTTATTATTCTGAGTTGCCCCACTCAAGCGGCGGCCATATTGAGTGGGGCACGTGAGATAAATAACGCGCTTGATTAGTGCGATCCTAGTTCATTTTATTACTTCATTGCTGTTGGATCTGTATGTGCGTTATAATTAATCGGAATTAATCGATTAAAAAAAAATTCTATTAATCGAACACGAAAATGTTAATCATTACCAGCCCTAATATATACATATATATATATATTTCTAGTTTAGCATGTCTTTATTTATGCTTTGTACACATTTACATGCAGAGCAAGCTGAAACATTTCCTTGAAAAACAAAAGCATGACCAGGGGTGGCTACAGCAGTCATCTCTTATTTACTTAAAGAGGAACTGATTTATCAAAATATATAAAAAGTAAAAAAAATAAAAGTGACAAAGCAAAAAAAAAAAAACAATTAAAACCAACTCTGCTGCCCCTGCCATATGCATACAAATAAACGCACGCATAGGAAATTGTGTGTGTGTGCTGAGTCCTGCCGCCATTTCACTGTGTGACATATTGTGGTAGTCAATCAGCATCGAGCTGTCCTGCTGGCCAATCAGGTCATTACTCTCTGCCAGGTTTCCTGATTGGCTAGCAAGCTGGCTCGATGCTGATTGGCCGGGAAACTGGCCATTCACAATCAAGCCGGCCAAACAACATGGAGTCGGTTTCCCTGGCAGTCAGGAAGCCGGGTAGTATCTCATTACCCGCTTCAGGGCTTCCTGATTGCCCAGGAAGCATGCTCCATGCCAACGGAAGCACCGATACTGAAAGCGATAGTGAGTACTGAAAGCAAAATATCGGTACTCATACTCGATACCCAAAAACTGGTATTGGATCCCTAGTTTTAAACTTTTAAAAATATATTTTTTTGTATCAGGACAAGTAGATTGTTATGAAGGACAAGTAGATTTGACGCCCGCTTTAGCCCTTGGACAAGTAGTTTTTTCAAAAATGTCCACACCCCTGCTGTGAACAAAGTGCCTGCTGCAACTGATTGGACCTGGAGGAAGGGAGGCGGTCACAGTTCTGAGCAGGCTTAGCTGAACTGAGTTTGGAACAAGCCTAGGTTCATCAATATGAGAAGGGGGGCTGCACATCCTGCCGTGTAGTCAGGATGGCAAGGGGAAGCTTTAATAGAAATAAACATAACATTTTAACAAAGGAAGCATTTTAATATGAATGTTAATGGATTTTTGAACATTAAAGATGAGCTAACTCTTTAATTAAAAATGCTGAAGATGGAATCCCCAATCTAGCGACGCATGGAATTTTTTGGGGGGGGAAATGAGTCACGGATTATTCATATGTAAATAGCGCCACCCATTCTGGGAGGCCAGTAGCCCCTATCTTAATTTTGGTTTCTCGTCTGCCTGACATCTTGTGTCCGGGTTTCAGCTACCATGAAACCCGGACACAGCATTAAAAACCCGGACTGTCTGGGTGAATCCTGGACAGCGGACAACCCTATATAGCGTGCAAACCTGTTTGGCATAAAACGAACTAGACCCTAATAGAGATGCTTACAGATGCTTATTCCCATTGCTCAAACATGTAAAGCTACCTATCATCACAGCTCAAACACCTTGTCAATTAAACCCACTTTGTATTTGTTTTTTCTAATGGCATTGCCCACTGGCGGAGCTACCAGGGTCGCAACGGCCGCAATTGCGACCGGGCCCTGGCGTTCCGCCTGTTGGGGGGGGCCCGAAAGCTTCCTCATGCCCCCCCCTCCAGATAGCGCCGCTCCATCCTCCGCCGCTCTTCTCTGGCATTGCCCCTTTAAAAACTAAATCTTAGAAGGTGGATTGAGCCTGTGGCTCCCCGTCTGTGTGGTACTATAAGCCCCAGCAAATCCTTCTCGTAGCTTCAGAAATTGTACACAGTCTAGAGATGGGTAGCTCATGAGTGATCCGGATCTATTGAGCGGCTCCCTCAGAAGAATGAAAGAGCGGTGGCTCAGTAAAAATGAGCGCCGGTTCTTCTGGTCTGTGCTCTGCTGGGACGTGTAGTCCAGCATAGCTGGTGGTATTTTGCAATGCAGAATAGCACCAACTATGTAGGACTACAAGTCCCAGCAATGCGTTATAGTGTGTGTGGGGAGGGGGTGTGTGCAGGTGGTATTTTGAATAGCTGACTTTTTTTATTATATATTGCTGGGACTTGTAGTCCCGCATAGCTGGTGGTATTCTGCATTGCTGGATGATGATTATACAGAAATGCAGAATAGCACCAACTATGTAGGACTACAAGTCCCAGCAATGCATTATAGTGGTGGTGGGAATGTTGGGGGTATTCTGCATAACAGACAAGCAATGGTTTTACTTTAAAAATAACTCCCGTTCCCTCCCTCAAACTACACCCCTTCTCATTTCCTTGCCTACTATAGTAAAAAGAGCAGTTTAGTGAACCATGAGCCGTTTAAAAGATCCGGATCTTTTCAGTGAGCGATCCGATGAGGAGCTCATGCAGATGAACCGTTTTGCCCATCTCTAACACAGTCCCCGCAACGGGACTATTATATATGACACCGTAGCAAAATCACAACACCGCGCCACACACGTGTTCCTGCGTAGCGCGCCATGTCTAGTGAGGGCACTTCCGGGGGCGGTAGTGACGCGTTTCCGGTCGCAGCCCTCTCGCGGGATTTTGAGCCGGATTCTATTGTGCCACGTCTGAGCTGTGCAGGTGAGTGCTGGCCGGGGGGTTCCGGGGTGTAGGAGGCTGGGGAGGGCGCTGCGGTCTGGCTGGAGGCTCTGCAAGTCTTGGGCCACCACAGTTTCCAGCATGCACTTCCTACCAGGAACTTTCTGGGACTTGGGGGCACAGCAATCTCAGAGCTGCAGCCTGTATGTGTTGTGTGCTGAGCCATAGGATGTGACTGGTCCCTCATACAAGGGATTCTCCTATTATCAGTGATCATGTGATGGAAGCTGAAGCTCACAGGGCTCAGCACAGATCTACCTGCTAAAGACCTCTGCTGACCACTATACAATCTCATTGTACGCTGACCACACACTATACAATTGCAGGAAAATGCTAATGCTGAAGTTTGAATGGAGGG